CCCCCCCGCGCTAAGTGGCACTGTGTGGCACTCTTGGCGCTGTGGGTTATGACAGCAGGTGTGGAAGTAAGCTGGCAGAGGTTCTGGCATGTCCAACATGAGAGCCACCGTCACCCACTTAGGTTGCTAGGGGGTGACACAAATTCTGTTCCCTGCCACACAACTAGCTGTGTGTCCAGAGTCACCCTCCGCCTTAGTCCTCCTGTGTCGCTTTCAAGCCACTGTCTCAGCCTCTCCGGAGCTCTCATCTCTCACCCAGGGTTGCTCCACGGAGCTTGGAGTCTCTGATGAGCTACTTACCACCGAGAAGTCTTTGTGCTCTATAAAACTGCAAACAAAGTATTAGAATTCTATCTAGAAAAACAGGACTAGCCCAAGGCTGAGCAAGAAGGTACCCCAGGGGCTTGGTGACAGTTGTCTGTGAATTCACCCTCGTGGGGTGAAGTGGTTGGAGAGTCACCTGTGGGTGCAGGAGCAAGGTGCAGTAGTGGCTGCTTCAGCTTTTAAAGTGGCAGGACCAGCTGGTCGGTACCAATTGCCACTGAGTCATGGTCACTCAGCCCAAACAGGGTGGCTGGTACTTTGGTGCTTCTCAGCACCCTGGACAAGGACTCCTGCTTCACCCTCAGCCACGCCCTAGCACAGCAGGAAGCCCTCCCATCCTCCTGTCTAGGTACTGCCTTGAGGAATTCCTGCCTCCTTCTCCCTGCCCGGGGCCAGTTTCTTTCTTTCCTTTTTCTTTTTCTTCCTCTTCTTTCATTATTTTTTTTTATTACCCCCAAAGCAAAATTTATTTGTGAGGTACTAAAGGAAGCCTCCTGTCCCTTTTATGCCGGCAGCCCTCAGCAGAGAAGTGAAATCGTGTATTTCGCTGCTAAAAAAAGCCCCGGCTTATACAATTTTAACAATAGAAAAATGATCTTTGCGCTCCAATGCGTGGAGGCTTGGAGGAAAACCGGCTGCATTCAGGTGGCTGGTGCATTACAAATGAGCGGTTCGCCTTTGTTTTGAGTGACAGGCAATTTAGATGCAGTCTTATATGGAGGCCAGGGAATTTTTTTTCCCACCCCAGAATGGAGGTGGGGGGGCAAAAAGGTGGGCGGAGCAAGGAGAACTGAGGGAGTCTGCATTCCCCCACCCCCCAATGAACTGAGAAGTTCAGCTTGAGCTGTTTAATTAGGAAATCAGGAGTTCCCAGTTGGAGTAATTGGTGACTACACCATAACTAATAGTGGCCATAGCCTGGTCTGCTGAGCTGCATGGGGATGCACCTTGCTGAGTCCCCAGAGCCTGGCATGAACAAATTGGGGGCCACGTTGCGTTATCTGAAGAGGCTTCTCAGTGCCAGCATTTGAAGACATGTCCCTCTGCCTTATGTTTAACCTGGGGCGAATAAATATGGTAATAAAATTTCCAGTGGATCCTCCTGCCCCAGCGGACGTCCCCTTAGGCCTTCATCACTGCCTGGTGACAGTGGCATGTGGTGGAGGGCTTCAGAGGGGTGCTGACTGTCTGCCTGGGTGGTTGGAATTAATGCAGGGAAGACAGCTCGGTGGTTAAAGATTGCTTGCTGTGGAAGCATGGGGAGCAGAGTTCGAATCTCTGGCACCCATGTAAAGTCCAGATAGGGAAGCCCAGACCGGAGGAGCCCTGACTTCACTGCCAGGGTCCCGTCAGGGTCCCGCACAGCAGGCCATGCACGTGAACTTCTGTAGGGTGTGTGGCTGGCCACTGCCATCTCCATGGTGCCCCTGTGGCCTCCAGATTGCTACTGTCAAGGGTTCAGTCTAAACACTTTCCTTTCACAGTCTTCTTCCTGCCAAGCTTCAGGGTCAAGGCCTGTGGCTTAAAGGCGCTGGGATGGCCACTTGTCAGCGGTCAGTGGTGTGTGGATGTCGTGAATGTGGTGGGCAGCTCAGCTCTCGGGGACATTATAGGAAGACAGACTGCCACTGAAATAAAGACACCGTGATGGGGAAGCAGGGACACCATGGGTGAGACTCGGGTAGCTGTGAATCGTTCAACCGGCCCTTGTCCCCACGCCTACTTTTACAATTCTTGGGGACATTCTCACCCTCCTGCAATCCCCAACCAGGGCTGTGTTCGGCATGGACAACTGGAACCAGAGTGTCTGGATACATGTCTGTCTGTCTGTGTGTGTGTGTGTGTGTGTGTACGTGCGTGTGTGGATGGATATTTATCTTCACGTCAGATAAGTAGTGAAGTGTCACCTCCGTGGCTTCTGAGTGTCAGTAGCTAGCAGTGACACCAGCACTGTGGTTAGTAGCTTCTAAACACAAGCAGCTGCAGGACCCTGGGAGACAGCTGCAGCCCTTGCCTGGGGCTCCCCCGTCTTCTCGGGGACAGAGGGCATCCATCTGCTGGCCCACACGGCCAGACCGTGGTGGAGGTAACTGGGTAACTTGCTGTGTCTTTGAAGATAGATGTTCACAAACAAGCAGACGTAGTTTGCCTCCGTATTTATTGTCATTGCTGTCCCTTTGGGGATACTCCCAAACTCACTGCCTCCCAACACGTCCAACATTTGTGGCATTTACCGCCTCCCTGCCGTGGCTCAGTCCACCTGTGTTGGGTGACTCCATTGTTACTTACTTCCTGCCCTTTCCTGTCCCCAGCACACTTCCCTTCTCAGGGAAGTCCCACCCTCTGCCAGCCCCCCTCCCACCCTCTGCCAGCCCCCCCCCCCACTACCCACCCCATGTTTTCCCTTCCAAACATTTTGTGCTTGTAACTAACAAATCATCTGGGGAATTACCTTGAGGTCCATGTCCCCACTGGTTTATGGCTAATCTTAGTCCTCAATACACATCACAGGGACTCTTGGGAAATGTTAGTCGAGTGAATAAAGAACTGTCACTCTGGAAGGTCAGAGACTGGAGTCTCTTCTCAGGAGAACAACGAGGTGACGCTGGCCTTTTAAGGCCGTGTTTGACACTGACCGGGCATTTCTGTCCCTTCTCTCACATAACTCCTCCTATCCCACAAGGCCCCCATGGACCATCTCTGTCAGCTAAAAACCTAATGATCACAGACAGAATCTGACGCTTCCTGGTAACCACATTGTTAAACGGTAAAAAGTGACTACACATCATCACTTCGGATTGTAGCTCCGTTGTTCAAATGGTGGTGAGCTACCCTGTCCCTTTTTATGCTAAGTCTTTGAATTCCTGTATTTCACATTCATTACACCTTTTGATTTTGGGCTTCCTATGGTTCAAGTGGTCAGGAGCCATGCATGGCTTTGGCAGCCATATTGGGTAGCATGGCAGCCATATTGGGCACTGTGAACCTCTATATTGGCTGTGTTTTCCAGATTCTCCTTCCCTTGATGTACTGGTATGCATAGCAAGGCAGGTTTTCTGTTAGGTTGTTTTTGTGAGACGCCTGAGAGACAAACACAATAGAGACTCTCACTCAGAACTAGCAGAGTCAAGGCGGAAATTGGTCACTCTTGGCAGTGAACATAGCTGTGAGGCCTCAGACATGCCAGGAGCTAAAGCACTGGATCTCTAGAACTCTTTGAAGGAATTGTTGTGTTATTGGCTCCCCCCCCCCTTTACAAGTGGGGATATAGAGGTGCAAGGACTTAAGTGAATTTGTGTCCAGCTAGCTCATGCTAGAACTGGGGTTTGAAACCCTGTGGTGTCTCACCTCTCCAGACAGGTTGTCTCAGAAATGGCCTCCACCACTGGGAAGCAAAAGAGCCTCTGGCAACATTTTGGTGGGGACTAGGGTTGGTGCAACGCACTCAATTTGTTTATTCAGTAAATTGCATTGATGGGCTAGGGGTGGGGCTCAGTTGGTGGAGTGCTACCCTAGCATTCATGAAGCCCTGTGTTCCATGACCAGCACTTCCTAAACTAAGTGACATGATGTACTCCTGCAACCATAGTACTTGGGAGGTGGGAGAGGAAGCCCGGGAGTTCAAGGTTACCCTCAGTTACAGCTTGAGTTCGAGGTCAGCCTGGACTACCCCCCTCCAAGAAAAAGGATTCTATTGGGCACCAACTTTGTGCCAGAAAGAACTCTGAGGGCTACATTTAAGGGCAGGCCTTAGCCACAGATTTGTCCCCTATCTCTTTAACTCTACCACTAAGAGTTACGGGAAGCTGGCAGGTTACACCCCCACCCGCCACACCACACAGTAGGCTGGCAGGGAGGGTACCAGCAGCGCAAGGCTCGCTGCTGCCCACTGCGGCCCAGCCAGCCAGGGTCCTGTCGATGTGGGGTTGCTGCCAGTGCCTGCTAGGTGCTGGCCTCAGAATGAAAGCCCGGCACGCTGCATGGCAACTGGCCAGCCAAAGCTAGGATCAGGGCCACTGGCCTCCACTGTCTGAAGCGGGAGACAAGGGTTCCACAGCTGCCAGCGCCCCCCCCCCCCAGTCACCTAGACACATGATGCAGGTGACACTCATCTGCCACAAAGACAGAAAAGAAAATGAGTAAGAGAAGGACAGGGTGAGCGCAGCTCCTCACCACTCGGTTGCCTGCCGTGTGTGCAGCCATTCAGTCAGGAAGCATTTATTGAGCACCACCAGTATACCAGGAACTTTCATATGAACTCTATTACTCTCTGATGTTGGTTGAAACTGTTAGTGTTAACTAAGAACTGACAATTGCACGACATTTGCCAAGTGTGTCCCACTCTTCCCCAAAGCATGCATGTTTGAACTCAACAGCATTGCCCTTGAGTAAAGATTAATAGCCAATATTTAATAACCTGTTTACCCCTTCAAGTTAGAAAGCGGGTCTATTATTTAGCCACCCCACCCCACCCCCATTCTATTGATGAGGAAACTGAGGCTCAGAAAAGGGCAGTGACTTGTCCAAGGTCACACAGCCTGGGCATCCTTAATACGGGAGCCTCAACTTGTAACTGTCCCCCAGCCCCCCCAGCTCCCCCCTTGCACAGGAAGGCACTGGTCTCCTTGCAGGTCCAGGGCCATGGCCACACATGACACTGTTTCTTCTTTCCAAAGGTGGTGGCTCTGAGTAAAAGAAGTCAGGAAGCAGAGGCGGCGCTCCTGAGTGTTTATAAGCAATTAATCGAAGCGCCAGGTAAGAAGCTCTTGGCTCCATAATTGAATAATTACCGCTGATGAGCATCGTCAGCAGTGACACAGATACCATGGTTGCTTCCTGGGGTTGGGATCTGGAGACAGGCCTGAGCGCAGGGAGAAGCCAGGCTGGGGTGGGAGGTGGAGTGAGTGTGTGTGTGTGTGTGTGTGTGTGTGTGTGTGTGTGTGTGTGAGAGAGAGGGGGGGGGGAGGGACACGGACACACAAGATGGACGGGACTTAACCAGCCTGGTGTGAAGCGTTCTCATGGCTCCCTCCGTACCCAACCCCCCCCCCCCCGATTTCTGCTCTGGGAGGATGGCTCTGATATGATGCCTGCCTGGGTCTTCTCATCTGTGTCTTGCCCCAGGGAACCCCTTCCAGGGCTGCAGGTGACTCTGCCAGCTGGAGGTAATAGAGGAATAATGTCACCTTTCCCACAGTCAACCTCAGGATCTCAGTACTGAGGGGAAGCCTGGCCCCAAAGAACAGATACTGGCTAGTTTCCCTCACAGACAATGTGAACAAAGCAGGAGCGGGTCCGTTGACCTGCTCACAGTGGTCAGGGCAAACCCCTGCTCCGTGTCTCTCATCAGATAAAAGGGTTTCAAAATTGTGCTCTGTCCACACTGGAATACAAGTAAATAAGCTCTAAGGAGGGCTGCTGTGGCCGAGTCTGCTACGGTAGCACCTGATAATGTTTGAAGGAAGCCTCTAGAACAGGCATCTACAGTGAGGCAAACATCAGCTAGGAGTCAGCCATGACTGGGGCCCTGGCAGGACACTCTGCCTGCAGTGTTCACCCTTGGCCTGGGTGTGGGTCGTGGTAAGGTGACCCTTTTGAGGATGTCTGGATAAAATACACCGTCCCTGCTGCTTTCCCGTTTGTTGGTGCACACCCGCCCCCCCCCCATACAACAGATGTCAGGGTCACCGCTCCAGGAGACTGCCATGCTAAGCTTGTGGGGAAGCATCTGACTCAGGTCAGACGTGAGGCTTTAAGTTGGGTAGTTCAGCCTCAGAAGGCTTGGGCTACACAGTGAGACTCTGTCTCAACAACAACAAAATAAAATAGCCGGGGAGGTGGCTCCATTGATAAACTGCTTGCCAGGTCTCATCTGTAGCACCATGTAAAATCCCGAGTGTGATGGAAATGCCGCTAATCCCCATGGTGGGGAGGCAGAGCCAGGCTGATTCTGGGGGCTCATGGACAGGCAGCCTCTAGCCTGTTTGAGGCACTCCAGGACACTGAGGCCCGTCTCAAAGAACAAAGCAGAAGCCACCCAAGTAAGGACCTCCACCCAGCACACACATGCATGTGCACCCAGGCAGACAAGCAAGGACACACGCATGCGCATGTACACACAGGCACGGTGGAAGCCACACTTCGTTTCTTGGAGCCACTGTGGGACCCTCGTATTTCTGGACCCCAGGCTGTTCAATCTCAGTTGTGGGTTCAGCCAAGAGCCACATGAGCTCCCAGATTGGAGTGGAACCTTCCAGAAAATCCTCATTGCCTCTTACCCCTGTCTCCAAAGCCTAGGTACTCAGAGGTCATGGGGAGGGTTAGGGAGCCCTGCACTGACTCCAGGCCTTCCCAGGTCTCTCCTGTGAAGGAAGGGGGAAGGGGGGTGCCACATCCCAGCTGTCACTGAACTAGAAAACAAGGAGCCTTAACGGATGGAGATGCGCCACACAAACAGCCCCTTTAGGGGCACTAATTCATTTTCGAGACATTTAAGAATAACACAATGTTTTAATGATTTCTTCGGGGAATCGGGAAGATGTATTTTTGTGCTCATTAAATGCTATCCGCAGACACGAGAAGCAAATGTCACATACAGAGGTTTTGGGGGGCTCAGAGTACGCGCTCGTACGCTCACACTTTCCACCCCTTCGCAGCCGTGATGCACGGGCTCTCCCTCTGTTGGTCTATGTCTTGACAGGCAAATTATTTGTCGCAGTTACCCCCACCCAAGTCCTGATTCAACATTTCCGTCTGAATGACTGGCTGCTGCCAGCACGAGCCCTTGGCAGGCAGCGAGACGCGGGCTGATTGCTCAGCAACTATTTTGATAAGTGCGCAGTCCGTGTATCTGTAATTACGGAAGAAAACCGTAAATCTTTTGGATATTGTTCGCACAGATGTGGCACGAAGTGAGAAAAAAAAACGAGTAAAATGTGTTAAAAGCGTAATTAATGTCATTGTTGTGAGGGAAGACTTGATTTAAACCCTTGGCTTCAGTGTGCCGTGTTGATAGCTGATGTCTTCACTGTGCACAAGCCAAGTCGTGGGGGGACCCGGCCCAGCCTCAGCAGGAGAACTTGGGGCCCCGGTAACTAGAACACGGAAAAAAGAAAAGGGGGAACAGGAGGAGGAGAGAGCCAGGGAGGCCAGGGGGACACGTGGACACACGGCTGAGCCCACTGCAAGACAGGTGAGTGGCCCGAAAGGCTTCTTGGATTTTCTTTGCTCTGCAGGGTCCTGTTGGGGTGAGACCACTTGCAGAGGGGAGAAGGTTCCTACTGCAGTGGCAGACGTACAGTTGGTGCTCCGTCCTCCGTGTATTGAGCTGTGTCTCCTTTGCCAAGGCAGGAGCCTCGCCCTCTCTGGTCCTTTGTGTCTTTAGAAAAGAGGTCACAGAACCTCCTGGGCAGTTGGTATGGGGGTTTGATGCTCTGTGCATGAGGGGGTTTCGAGGAGCATCCCATAGGCTGTGGACATCGGGGTCCGAGTGCGTTGCAAGCGTCTGCTGTGGATCACATGAAGCTGTCACCTGTCTAGGACTCTGGGGAAGCAACAGCAACTCTGTGGGCGACAGCAACGGGGAGCTACTTGGCTAGGTTTCAGGCTTTTTAAGGTGTCTTCCTAAGCCAAAAATAAAAAAAGAAAAGAAACAAAAGAACGTACACACACACAGCTCAGACAACCGGAAAGTGTGAGGAAAGAAAATCTAGGAAGTGCTGTTGGTCACCTCATTGTGTCGCTGCACGTGAAGTTCTGCAGAGTGGTGTCTGGTCCTCCTGACCAGCGCCCTCGCCCTCCGGGACCCCTTCCCCAGCATGAGTGTGGCTCCTCCCTGTAAGACACTAGACAGGCCAGCCTCGGTGTATGGTTCTTCCCTGTGGCTGTTCTTGGGTTTCCTGAGGTCCTTCCCATGCTGCCATGCGCCAGGTCTCAGTGCTGATGTGCCAGGGATCTTTGAATGAGAAAGAAAAAGTGTGTGAAGGAAAATACATTGCGGCCTTGTCTTGGTCACAAACCCTGTGGTCAGAGCAAACGAGATTGTTTCTCCTTGTTGACTGCCCAGCTTTCTTCATCTACTCCTTCCCACAGAGTGTCCTCATACATTATATTCTGCAGATCGACCATCTGTGTCATTCCTCCATTCGTATCAGGACTTAATGATCGCTGATCTGGCGGTGCTCCTCGTATATTAGGGTTAGGAGTGTTGGACCTGGTAGACATGTTTGGTATTTTCTCTCCAAAACTGACTTTTGCTCTTTACCTTTATTCATAGCCTCTCTTATATGGTAACCAACAGACGTTCAAACAATGATTTCCAGAAAGTAGAGAATCTTACCCGGTCTTTCTTTCTGCGTCCTATTTTTAAACACATTTTCACCTGAAGGTTGGAAGAGTTTTTGAAGTAGTCCTAATATCTTTTAAAGTTTTAAATCTGAGCCATTATGAAATGTACTTTTGACGGGAGCAGGAAGTAAAATAGCTCATTTTGAGTTGTCCCAAATGACTAATTCTAGCGCCATCTAGCGATCGAGCCACCTACACTGCCGCTGCGGAGAGATTTTAGTATAATTGGAACAGTGGTGGCCACTGTTGCTCCTGCTATCCCTCCCTCCCTCCCTCCCTCCCTCTCTCCCTCCCTCCCTCCCTCCCTCCCTCCCTCCCTCCCTCTCTCCCTCCCTCCCTCCCTCCCTCCATCTCTCCCTCCCTCCCTCTCTCCCTCCCTCCCTCCCTCCCTCTCTGTCACCATGCTTGTGTCTCTAGGGAGTCATAAGAACACAGAGTAACACTTCATTTGAGCTTGGATGGAAGACAGAGGTGCCATCTTGCCAGAACATTTCTGGGGTGCTGTCTGCATGACAGGCATCATGCCAGCCCCTTGAGGGCACAAGCTTGCTGACCCCACATCGAGGACTTTGGGAAAGTGGCCACGGGAGTTTGTGGAAAGAGGGGACCACTGCAGAAGGGGCTTCACTACGAGTCCTTTGAGGGAGGTGGGCCAGGAGGACAGGGAGGCGCTTGCTCTGGAGTCTCCTGTGTGAGCCCCCGAGCTGAGGAAAGCAAAGAGCTGCAACTGTGGGGGAGGGGAGGGGAAGGGCCGAGAAGGGGCTCTGGGCTGCGGCGTGGGCCGGGCCCCACTCTGCGTCTCCTCCATGCCTGGCTCTTCCCTGGCCTGTCTCATAAATGCGGACAGTGGTACTCCATCTCTGTGGGGCTGTGGGACAACACAGAAAACCCAGGCTGCTGCCCTCCACAACCTGTCCTGTGCCTCTCCTTTGTTTGCCTGGCTGCTACCACAGAGGCATGGCTTTGAGTAAGAGGGCTCTCCTCCTGCTCTCCTGGGATGGTTGGTGCCTGTCACGCAGGGAGCCCAGCTTGCATAACAATGGTTTGCGGCTGGGTGGCTTTGAGAAACCGACTCTCCCTCTCTGGGCTGCCTCTTCCTCTGGATAGATTCATTCCCTGATGCCTTTAGAAGTGTTGGATGACCTGGCGGTGGTGGCACACACCTTTAATCCCAGCACTCAGGAGGCAGAGGCAGGTGGATCTCTGTGAGTTCGAGGCCAGCCTGGTGTACAAAGCAAGTTACAGGACAGACTCCAAAGCCACAGAGAAACCCTGTCTTAACAATCAAAAGACAAAGCAAAAAAAAAAAAAAAAAATGTTGAACAGGATGGAATCTTAAGTGGCTGGCTTGTAGTAACTGCTCATCTAACAGTGGTTTCTGCGGTTGTCACCGAAAATATCCAGTGCCG